TCATCTCCCATGTCCAGAAACTCCGCTGCCCATGCTGCCTGAGAGAAGTTCTTGATCCACCACTTCGACAGCTCAGCGCTGCGTTCTCCTCGTGGCAAGACCTTCGCATCCGCCATTCCACTTTTCTTACAAGCTTTGACGTGGTCGTGGACATCCATATGAATAGAATCCGTGAGCACATGCGTGTAAGACTCAGCAAGCTTCAAAGCCTTTCCCCTACTTTCACCGGTTTTGCGCGTGTGTGCACCTGAAGACCACAATGCGCTGCAGTACGAATGTGGATTTGAAAAGCCACGTTTTCTTGAGGGGTAAGTTGTTCATGTCAATGATTCCGACCATGCAACCATCACACTCATGAGACATGAGACCGTGACGCTCAACAAAACGAACAACTGATGGGTCCTGCCAATAGTCGCAAGTCTTGGGGAGCTCAAAAATGATCTCAGGGTTGTGCCTCCTAGTGAGCTTGATGGTAGATAAGAAGGATCGAAACAACTTCCGAAACAAGCTTTTGTGCAGCTCGACCTTTTCAGGTTTGTTATGCACGTTAATCCGCTGCCAGCTACTTCCTCCAGTGCACGGAAGCGACGCGAAAAGAAGTAACATGGCTCCCCCCTCGTCGCAGAGGGCATGGATTTTGTCAACGAGTTTACGTATGGTTTGCGGTTTGGTAGCATCATCCTGCTCGGTGATACGGATAACGTGACAACCTTTAGCAGCATCTCGTTTCTGACCTAACTTGGAATCTTCGGAACAGCAAAATTCCACCAACACTCGGTTGAACGTCGGCCTCGCCGTTAGGTGGGCTGATGCAGCGTCAACGTGCCGTGGCGGCGGCCTGAATCCGAAGGCAATCAGGGAGGAGTAGTCATCATCAAGAAGTTTATGAGCACTACGGGTAGTATACGCAGTAAGAGAGAATCTGATACCTTCCCATGGCAGAACACAATGCCTTGTCTGCGGAGAAAAACAAACAGCCTTATTTTTAGTAGGTATCACCTGACCTTTGCATCGTTCCCCATTGTAGTCCTGAAACGAAGCATGACGCTCAGCCATGTCAGGGTCCTCCAACCATAGCTGTCCACCTGTGTGTTGACCAAAACTGGTAATGAAGTTGGTACTTCCTGCAAGGTTGTGGGAATCACGGTGGATTGAGGCTTGGGTTTCTCTGCTAATGACAAATGAAGTGTGCTGGAATCCAGGGGGTGCCTTTTGCTTGATGTAATTGTTGATATACTGCACGACCCTAGGCAACTTCTTGGTGAGTCTTGTAATGCCTTGGCAACCTCCATGAGTCCAAGTGCCAAAAACATGATAAAAAGATTGAGAATTCGTTTTAAGGATTTGTCTATTGCGCTTGGTTTTGACAAGTGAAAGCAGCTCCGCTATTTGCTCTAAGGCCTTGGGACTATAGTCTTGCCCTTCGTCCAGCCGGTGCGCAAGTTGCTCGATATCCTGAAAGACCTTAGTATAGGCGGCACCTCTTTGCAGAGGGCTAATGTCAGCCGGAGTTGCGTGAACCTGCGGCTTCGCCACTAAGTGGTTGTCTGAGTGCTTAGCGGAGCTACCCCCTGATCGGGTACATGCCTGTGGTAAATCAGGGACAACGCATTCTCCCACTTGGCACGATCAGCAAAGGGTTTCGTGAAAATGTCTGCGACCTGTTCCTTAGTATCAACATTAATCATATTGAACAAACCCCGCTCAAACTGCTGCTTTAACCAGGCAAAACTTATCCTCTGGGTCTTGTCCGCGCGGCGAAGCTTTTCACTGTCGCCTTTCAGCAGGATAGTTATCGTAGCCTGATTATCTTCCTACAGTTGAACTTTGAATTTGGGGCTGAGATGAACGTTGAGGGAGTTAAGGTTGGCCACAGACCTTCCATTCGCATCTCCACCGTAGCGGATCTCATCCAACTCAGGATCGAACTTTGTTAGGATAGGGATAGGCTCCTGCGGGTTGCGAGGCTGAGGCGTTGGCTTGCACACAATCTCTCCCCACAGAAAACACCAAAGAGACAAGCTTGGAAGTCCTTGAGCTCTTATACCTTGATTGGCGGAGACTACTTCGCTTTCTGTGCTTGACATCGTTACGCTGGTTTGTTTCTTGGAGAAAGCATTCAAGGGATAATACGTATTAGGGCCTACGAGAAAGAGCGCACAACCAGACGTGCTCTTGCTATCGAATTCCCCAGCCCAGTCTGCATCACAGAAGAGCCAGAGCCTGCAATCCCCTATCTTATCTCCAATAAAACCCTGCATTTTGACATCAAGACTAGAAGCAATGTAGGAAACCAACCGATGGAAAGCCACGTCGCAATCACGCGACCACTTCGTGACCCTTGAAGCTAATCCCTGAGTTGCACGAAGAAGGTCCCATCGGGCCATCCGGGCGGCAAATAGGATCTTCATCAATACTTTGCTAGCTATGGGCTGCAGCTGCCCTTGTGGCTCGTCTTCCGCTGCCGGCTTGGCAATACGGTTTTCGTGAAATGGAGTAGCCACATGCTTCAGGGTACTTCGCTGCACACCAGCTAGTTCACAGTATCGGTCAACACAGGAGGAAAGAAAGTCACGCATGTCATATGTCATGATGTTGACAAGCTTTGTCATCGCAGGAATCACCTCGGGCTCAATAGTCGAGGGGTCTTTGAACCTTTCCTGCTTGGCTTCACGTTTGGCTTCAGTTTTGCTTCTAGCGCCTTTACTTTTCTTCTTAGCTGCAGCTGCTGCTACGGACTGAGCGAAGTCTGGGTTTTCGACCAGAGGAAAGTACGTACTACCGACCCACCATTCTTTTCTTTTGGCACCTACGTTGTCATGAACCACATCTTCAATCTGCTCGCCTGAATCAGGAACTGTAATCCTGTCGGAGCCGATGCCTGGGAAGTTCTTTGAATCCTCCATGGTCGGAACGTAGAGTCGTTTGCGGGGGTACACATGATGTTTGACTGCAGCACCTAGCTCAAGGTCAATTTCCCAATAATCCTCAGTCCTAGACGGCTCAGCCGCTAGGCCGGCTGCTGCATTGGTTTTCTTATCAAACACATACGCAAATGGATGATCATCCCGAGACAGCATGACCTGTCGTTGCTCGTGATGATTGCACCCAAAGTACCTCCCGAAGAGCTCTGCAGGGTCCATGTCGATTACGCTATTGATAGTTTCCCAGCCTTTGTCCAAATTACCCTCAGGACCAGCCATCTTAAAGTCATCCACGTAAATGACAAGAAGAAGATCCAACTCAGCATGATAGAACACAGATTGCCATATCTCTGGTAATACAGCAGTCCACCCAACCTTTTCAAGTTCCTGCTGACAGTGTCTTTCCCAAAGTCCTCTGGAATCTGGGTGGCCGTACAAGGCGAGCCTCAGCGGACATACTGGGTCGTTCATGCCATCCCATTCCTTAGGCCATCGGTTGCGTGGGAGACGAACCCACGTCTCAACACCATCAAACAAGGCCTGGGTGTATGCTTGTTTAGCGTCCCCTTGCTGTTTGGAATATCCTGGCTGGCTCCCAAACACATCTATAATTTTACCAGCTTCCATAGATGCGGGACTGGAACCTAGCTCGGAGAAAATAGCGTGATCGTTGTTTTCATCTGAAACCCTGTTGCCCTGAAACACGCTACGTCCCTTCCACTTCTTGTTTGGATCTCCATCAGGAAGTTCGGATCCCTTTTGGGAGCATATTTCGAAGATTCTCCCGAAGTGAGCCTTGGTGCCCTGGGCCTGGTGTTCTCGGATCACGTCCTTGTACTCTCTAGCCTTCTTAGTCAACCAACACGCTTTGTCGACTAATTTCTTCCACTCTTTGTCCATTGCAGCTTTAGCATCAGGTGTTCTTTCAACCTCAGACTGCGAGACAAGTCTAGCCACTAATGCAAGCTGTTGCTCGGCAACCTCGGCTAACTTATCCCAAAACAGTAAGGCAATTCTTTCACGATGTTCTTGACTGAGCTCCCCATGGACGACGGGCATGGCGGGTGCCTCTGCTTCCCGTTCCTTACGCAAACGTTCCTCCTCTAGCTCGACCTTCCGCTGATAGCGGGCGATGTCCTCCTCTCTTTGCTTAGCAGAATACATATGCCAAAACTCTGAAGGGGTATCGGGAGGTCGCTTAGAACCCTTCTTGTTTCTGACAAGACGCACACCATCCCAGTTGTAACCTGGTGGTACTGGCTTTCCACTGGGCAAGATGTTAGGGTCATGTAAAGCGCTAGAGGGTTTGCTAGGACTGGGTTTCTTGGATCCCTCGGCACTTCCCTTCGGAAGGCTCTTTGGGTCCTCCGGCTTTGGAGGCTCTCCCCCCTGATCGTCGACGTCCTCGGGTCTTTCCATCATTTCCCTGATTTCATCAAAGAGCTCGGACCCCTTTAGGTGACTATCATAGTTGAAAGTGTCCTGCTGCAAATCTTGCGCAAAACAATTTTGGTCATCCAACGTAGGGATATGAGCGGCATCCCTCGATGAAACCTCTTGGGGCAACATAGGAAAAGTGAACTCCCCGTGGGGCAGTTCCATCCGCTTTACTCTAATCACCTTGAACACACCATTCTCAATTGCATCCTTGCAACCTCCAATTGGAGTGACAAGGTATTCCCTTTTGAAAATGAAACCGGGTTGAACATGGTATCCCAGGAAAATACCTTCCTGGCCCGTAGGGGCAAACTTAGAAGAACCCATAACATTTTGCTTTGGGTTATTCCAAAATAATACCCGAGCGCCGAAAGGAACGTGCATGCCTAGGAACTCTTCCCCAAACCTGCCTTCCCGTGGGATAGCGCCTGTATCAACCCTTGGTGAAGTATTGAGGGCCATTGCATGATGTTGTGCTGCCAGTGGCCACATACTATCTGGCAGCCCACTTTGTACCAAATTGGCGCGAGTTCCTTCCAAAATGGTACGTATTTCGCGTTCGATGACTGCTTTGTTTTCATCAACATACTCACGACTAGTGTTACGCCTTATCCCCATACGGTGAACAGCATCTTTGAGTTCTGGGGCATTGTCGGAGTAGATGATACCGATCTCGTCATTCACTCCTACGAAATGCAGAAGGTCACCATGAACTTGATCTGCTTCTTTAGTTGGCGAAGGATACACATACCGAAATTTGGTGCACACATCTTTAACCACCAGACCAACCCTTTGATCATCAAACCCATGATCGCGAAGATCTCGAGTAATTAAATGATCAACCGTCAAATGTGCCCCGTATGACTTTGACTCTATGCTGGAAGAGCCACCAACTTTCCGCGCCTGCGGAGCATACATCTTGGCACGTTGGCAGATTGGACAGAAGGGGTTCTTTGGTCGATGGGTCATAAGGTGTTTACGACTACGCGCTTCTTCCCTCAGTCTTTGCTCATTAGTTTGGGGTTCCCTTTCAGGCTCAGCATCCGAGTCCTCTTTAGGGCTAGGAACTTTAGGATCACGCTCGAAACACGTAATGGTGATTGGGACTCTTTCTGACAACTTTGCCGCAATAGAGTCAAGCTTTTCCAGATCAACCTTGTCCTCGAGCTTAATCCATGCTTCCCCATTGAAAGCAAAGGTGGTGCGCAAGCTTTTAGAGGGAGATTTGGCGTTTGGGGTGCGAAATACTTTTGGCCAGTGTGCAACAATTGTACTTGCAAATTCGGGTTGCTTAACCCAGCCTGAGCGCATAAGGTGCTTACGATTTATAGCGATTGGCGGTTCAGCTTTGATTGCTGCCTCTATTTCGGGATCGGAGTGAGGAACGCGCTCCTCCTCCTCAGCTTCATCGTCTGATGCTGGTACGGCCGTCCCGCTAGGGAGGCTCAGCCCTGAAAACCCTGGTGGGTCTCTTCTGAGCACATCACTTGGCGCCCGGCCGCTTTCGTACCTGCATTGTCCGAAGCTGCTGAGGCCCATGCGTCCAAGTCGCCAATGACAGGCACACGCCCCTTCATCCGACATCTTAGTTTTCTGCCGTCTGGCGTAATGAAATACGGGGCGCTGCCCGCATGCCAATGAAAGTCGAAACCTTCTTCCATACACCTTCTCCCCACTGAACATACCGGAGGGGTGCTTTCAAGCAAGTAAAATTCAAGATCCTTACCAAGCTCTGGTATAGGTAAGGTGACGGACATGTTACCCTGCACGGGACCGTTAGCAGTTATCAAGTTGACTTGACGCGTAGCGTCTCTAACTGGAACCGAAGAGTAATACATTGCATGATCACTTCTGCTGATCAGATCCTCCTCGCTGCCAGTGTCGGCCAGAAACTCTAGACCATTGGTACTAGGACAGGCAGTTTTGATGTTTGCCTCGCAAAATTGACAAGTCAAACTATCATCATCGTCGCAGCAATACTTGCAGTGGCTTTCAATTCCGGCTTGACATGCGTTCACTGCTCCCTCCAATGTCTTGGCATTTTGGATTGCAAACTTGGAGTCACGCTTGTCAGCCTTCGGGCAAAACTCCGAATCGGAATAGCAAACTGCGAACGTTCTCGGTTTGGTTGTGTGCTTTCTGCCTATACCGCTAGCTTCAACTTCGATAACCTGAGGCTTTGCCTTGAAAGTGACCTTTCCAGTGCTCTCATCTTTGATGTAGAAGATGGTCTTTCCTATCTAAGGCACAGTGGTGTCGTCAACCTGGGTCGAATCCCTCCAGCTCCATTCAATCACCGAAGTGAAAGGACTAACCGGATGAACCTTTTCAACCCTGGCCGAATCCTTAAGCCTCTTCATTGAGATTGGGCAATCGTTCTTTGGGTGAAACAATCCCTTGCGATAGCTTTTATGGTGCCTGATGGCTCGTTTGCGCTTGAAGTCAATTTCCCAATAATCTTCTTCGCTCTCGGCTGCGGCCGCGGCAACACCCGTTAGGGTGGCTTCAGGATTAGCAACACAACATGCTGCCGGCTTATCCTTATTGGGGGAACGCCCTCGGCTCCTTTGCCTTCGCCTTGCTGGCGATGGAGACCTGGGCTTCTCATCCTTTGCCGCTGCCGCCGTTTCCGGAGCTGCTGGAGAATCGGGCTTTCTACCGGGGGACTGTGGTTTGTCATAGTGTAAGAATCTACACTTGTCACCCTGGTTGCACTTACCCTTTTTCCAAAAGCTGCATATAGCGTTGATTTTCTTGGGAGAACCCTTTGGGGGCCTTGACTGCGCTTTGTGCAAAAATCGGCACGCATCTCCCCTTGTGCATTTTCCGCGCTGGAAATCCCGGCATACCTGTTTTGGACTAGAGGATCTACTCCTGGGACCCTTGGACCCACCGGAAGACCTGCCTGATGACCTACTCGGGCTTCTTGAGGGACTTCGGGATCTTTGAGCGCTTCCGGTTCTTGTTCTTTGGGGCCTTGATGGAGTCCTGTGCGCACGACTGTCTGAACCTGCAGGTGCCCCATATTTATCCCCGTGTGACTTTGCAATTCTGTCACGGTTCTTTCGGATACGCTCTCTTGCAAGTAAGTCCCGAATTGACTGAACCAGAAATTCAGAGTGCTCAGAAGTACCCTCTTTAGCTCTTTCATACTTGTCAAGATCAAACTTTAGCCTTTGCGACTTTCTGATCTGCCTCAACAAGATGTCCCGTAGTGTAGTTTCATCTGGCATGTGACTCATCCCGGCAATCACTGAATCCCAATTGTGAATGAATGTCCCTAAGTCGTCCTGGATTAGTGAAACCTTTAGAAGGTCTTCGACGCTGTATAGCGAACCAACTTCCTCATTGGTCTTGAAATGCTGGTTAAACATGTACAATACCTGTCGCCCCCTGACCGCACGAAGGTTAGCAGCTTCAGCTTCCTTGAAGTTGAGGATTTGTCTTGCTAGCTCACCTTTCGCTACTTTAGTCAACGCAGCCAGGAGTTTGGTATCCAATGTGAGGAATTTGCCTGGGTCACGCAACTTGTCGTGGGTGATATCCTTATTGTAAGTTTCCAGGAGCCACAGGAATGCTTCATCAGGCTGGTCACTTGCAGCCCTTACCGCCTCACGTGTGGCAGCCTTCCACGAACGGTAAGTCTCTGGATTCGGGAAATCGGGGAGCTTGATACTTTCAGCTTCCTTAACCTTAGGCTTATCATCGTCGGGCTTTCCCTTAAGGAAACCGGCCTTTAGCAAGTCGAGTGCGCTAAGGTTTTCCAAGTTAGCCTTGCTTGATTGTTCAGGGTTGACAATGGGAAGCGGCTGACCCGTTCGGGTGGCTTGTTGCTGTGGCCCAATGTCGCCTGTTATATTGCTAACTGGTGTTGTCATACCTGAAGCATGCACGCTTGTCGGAGCAGTGGCAATGTTCGCGAAGAGACCTCGGAAGCTTTCTGGGATTACCGTAGGGTCTGGCATTTGAGGACCCGATGGGGCTACAGGAGGGAGAACATTAGAGGCTGGAACACTGCCCGTTAGGGCTTCGGCATTACCTTTCGGTAAGCTTTTAGTGTCCTGGTCCTCGTATTCTCGTAGCCGGATTTCGGCCATCGTGAGCTCGTCCTGCAGGAGGTCGTTTTGATCCTGCATCTGCTTTTCCTGTAGTGCAAAGTCCG